AGATGAAGAATTAAGAGTTTTTGGCCACTTTAATTTAATTTTTCAATTACAAACAGTTATTTATCTTAATTCAATGATATATATAAAATTGAGTCAATTAAAGTTTAGCGTGTACATTGGTAGCTCTAAATTTTCGTAAATAGTTGGTTTCAGATTATGTGTGTTAAAATTTGAAGTTAATAGTTTGATTGTACGTCTTGCTATTATTGAAAGTGGGTGTTCTTTGTTATTGGATTTGTGTGCAAGTGATTTGCTTTTTCGTTGTAAGTGATGAATGGATCTATCATCTACGTCGAGAAGAAACATTTCGAGAAATGGAAGTTTTGAAACTGATTTTGGAAGATGGGGTTGTGCTTATTGAAGTGTGTAAATGCAAGTTCAGCTCATATTATTGTATGTGTTGTCAGTATGTGTGAAACTGCTGCGGGTTTCTTTCTTGCTGGGTGTAGAAAATCGTTGGATCACCTGGTCGTGGTATTCTGTAGTGATGAATCACATGCAACCTGTGGGAAGAATATGTCATCAATCGGATTGGACAACAGTAGACCAAAGACAGGCTTACAGGCAATTTTTGCTTTTGTATGTGAAAGTTTCTTAAGTCAACCACTATAAAACCTACCAGTCGGTGTTTGTAGCAATATATTCTATTATATCTGTGCTTTGAATTTTTCTTTTTTGGATTTCGTGTAAGCAATGTCTGGATGATTCCACAAGTTTTTTTGCATTGTGAGATTCTTGCTTAATGTTATTTGGTGTTTTAGAACCTAATTTTACTGTAGACCTACAATGTTAGGCAAATGAATGTGTATAGTTTTCTATTTTTTTTTTTTTTAGGTATACTATGATAGATTCTATTTAGATTTATACTCACAGACAATGATTAAGTGAAATTCTGTTATTAGCAGGTCACTTACTTGCAGATCTCAGCAAACCTTCTTCTCAAGCACTTGGCGATCTAAGTTCTTATTCAACTTGTAAAAGAATTGGCATTGCTGGGGCATCGTATCTATGCAGTCCTGCTCAAAAGAGAAATCTGGTGGGGGAAAACGTTTTGCACGGTTGAGTAAGCAAATATGGTGAAAATGTTGCAGAATCAATCTCATTCACATGCCACAGAAGATAAGGTTGGAGTGTTACTTCGAATCTTGGAGGACCAGAGACACTTCACGAGTTCAACCATTTTTGTTTAATTTATTTGCAGATCCGGTATGCCTGTTCTCTATCTTCTAGATTGTCCCTCCTTTCTTATTTCTTATAATTATTATCTCTTTCATAATTGTATCTTTAAATTTTTTATTCAATTGTTTTTATTCTTGATACGGACATCATACGTCTTCCCAGGTTGTTTCGATTTCTCAGTGGCCCTTGGCAAAATTAATTTCTGTGCTACGAGCTCCCAAAAGTAAAGAAGGATATGCTTCCATAGGAGGTGGCTCACCTTTGCGGAAATAACAAACGAGCAGGTTGAATATGTCCTGTTTTTTGTGATACTGTTTATGTTTGGGTATATATGTTCATTGCTTTGGTCTACTTTCTTCTTCTTTTTCTAAATTTTTTATTAGAAAATTTGTGTCTGTTTTTCTTTTTTAGTCCCTCAATTTTGTCTGTAATATTGTGTATTGTATTTTGAATAACTTGTTGCAGGCACATGCGCTTAAAATGGTTTGGAAGCAAAAAATTACCTGTCAATGTCTATGTTGGATGAGGTATTGGTACCTTTCACAGAAGAGGCAGTGCAGCAGGTAGGTTTTAATGTTTTCACTTTAGTAACATGGGATACTTTTTGCCTCACATTGAACTGCCATGGCCTATGAGCTCTTCTTTTGTTTTGTTAAATGTGATTTTGAAGAGTTTTTAAAATCTCCTGAAAATAATTAATAAAAAAAAAAGAAAAGAAAAGAGAAAAGCAGAGATAGTTGCTATTTTTTCATTTTTTGCTTCTTTGTGGTGTTATTTGATTAAATTACTTTAATTCCAGTGTCCAAACGCATTATTCTGGCACATATGTTTTAATGGCAATTATTGTAAGAATGACTCCTATCTTAAAACTCCAGTGTCCAAACGCATTATTCGGCACATTGTTTTAATGGCTAATTATGAGAAGAATGACCGTATCTTAAACTTGTTGGAGTCCATATAGTTAAAAAATTTAGCTACATTTGACAGATTAAGAGAGACAGAATTACAAGGCTCGTTGTGTTGCGCTTTATCCACAGTTCTCTATCTCTACAACTGGGTCAAGCATTCGTGTTCTCGAGAGAATATTAGGTGCTTTTTTTTCAGTATATTCTTTAATTTCTTGTCTGTAGTAAATCAATTTTGTATATCATAAAACCATTTCTGAGTGAGATAACTTGTCAGGGAAGATGCATATCTATCAAGGATGCCTGTTTCCATCATACGTCCTGGTATCAACGAGAAGGTTACATTAAGTCTATGGCTGACTTGATTCAGAAAGAGTTGGAGAAATTCTCAAACCCTGAGGAGGTGCATTTAATTACTGGAGTCTCTTCTTCTATATGGTTCTTTGAAGAACAAAATAGTATATATATTCAAATTTGACTTGCCTGGGTTATGGTCATTTTACAAGATGAGCTCTCTACAACTTGTCTTTGACTTCTATATGCGGAACTACAGGTAATGATATTCTTCAGTGCCCAGGGGTACCAGTCAGTTATGTTGAGAATGCTGGTGATCCATACAAAGATCAGATGGAGGAGTGCATCTACCTAATCATGCAGAACTTGAAAGACAGAGGAGTTGGCATGATCATACTCTGGCATACCAGGTTCGAGTGTGAAACCCAATTTCATAAGTTTTAGTTCCATCTTTCTTGTCTTCCCTCAATTATGAGTACGTCTGCAGCTGCTGTCTACCAACGTTGTCCATCACCGATTTTTGTTTTCCCCTTATCATTAGGTTGCGCAATAATGTTTGGTTGGTTAAATTTTAGGAATTTCATCTTTCCCCTTCTTTTCTTTGTAGAGTCGAGTTGGACCGGTACAATGGCTGAAGCCCTACACTGATGAAGTTCTTGTTGAGCTAGCCAGAAAGGTGTTAGAGCCTCCTGGCGGTTCCAGTCAGGTGCATGACCAGTTACCAAAATAGCAAATTTATGTGTTGACAGAGCACTAAATTTGTAATATACAGACTTAAATTAATTGAGTCTCCGCTGCAGCTTTGTGAGTGAACACATAGAAACGCTTGAAGAGATGACATGGGTATAGGGAGTTGGCTCTTGAATCTGGCATTCAAAACTGGGGACGTGTACCGCCCTGAACTGCACCTCTTCCTTCATCACGGATCTGGCAGATGCAGTACTAGAACTACCTGCAGCAACCGCTATATCTCCTCAAGGAAGATTCCGATGAAGATGACAATGACTTCGTGAGATATGCTATCAAAATGTTCTTCGGTTCTGTCTTAGCATTCGTTTTGCTGTTGTCACCAAAAATGATTCTTGTATTCAGAATAATCTCTTTAAAGGCGATTAAGGTAGTATGACACCGGATTTCTAAGGGTACAATAATAGCTGAGTCTCAAAAAAAAGTTCAAACACGATAACGTAGTTTGATGAAATATCGAGACATACCAGGATTTTTATTATACATGAGATGGGGAGTACTTTTATTTTATTTTTTTTGCCTCTTGTTGTAATTAGGAATAGGTCTGACAACCCAGTTCTAATTTAGTCTGATGTGTTGGTGATGGATACATGGAAGTAATCAATACAGGCACATTTGTGCTTCTTGGTCTTTTTTTTGTTTTTGTTTTTTAAACGGGAGAACGACTTATAACTACCAAGATTTATCGTAACGACAAAGTTGGTACCAAAAGGTTTTGAATGACAAATAGATACTTTCCGTCATGTTCTGTTAGTGATTTCTGTTATTACTGTTTATTAATAGTGAAAAGAAAATACCCTTAAAAGTTTGCATTTTAGTTTTTTATAAATTAAAAATTTTGAAAAACCCCCTAAGTTTACAAATTTCACTAAAAACCCCAATATATAAAATAACAAAACACCCCCCACCGGCAAGTGCAGATTCGGCCACCACCGCCGGAATTGGCCGGAAAGTTGCGTTACGACACAGACCGTCGGATCGTGTAGTAACGCGTCGATTGGCCTTTTCCGGCCAGATCCGTGGTGATCTGGCGGAAAAGGCTAGATCTACGGCTAGATCTGGCGTCGACGCCGCAAAACCCATTGCGGCGTCGATGGCCAGATCTGGCAGTAGATCTGGCCTTTTCCGGCCAGATCAGCCCGGATCTGGCGGGAAAGGCCAGATCTGGCTGCTGCTTCGACGCCCGATCTAGCCTTTTCCGGCCAGATTCGTGGCGGATCTGGCCTGAAAAGGCCACATCGGCACTTTACGACAAAGATCCGATGGGGATTTGTGTCGTAATGCAGTTTTCCGGCCAGATTCCCGCGATGGTGGCGGAATCTGGCATTGGGGTGGTGGGGGGTGTTTTGTCATTTAAAAACTTTTATATATGGGGGTGTTAATTAAATTGCAAACCTAGGGGGTTTTTTAGAAATTTTTAAATTTATAAAAAACAAAAATTGAAACTTTGAAGGGCATTTTAGTCTTTTCACTATTATAACAAAACTCACTAACAGAATATGACGGAAGGTACTTATTGTCGTTTCAAAACCTTTTGGGTATCAACTTATCATTACAGTAAACTTTGGGTATGTACAAGTCGTTCGCCCTTTTTAACATATCTTAGAGTCTTTTTAAGATTATTTATGGAGTACGTTACTGAATCGTATGATGTAAACCTTAAATAATTAAGAGGAAGGTTAACGATAATTTTCAAACTATAGAGGGGTTTAGTGAGATTTACAATGAAAGGGGATATTTGCAATATTCTAAATTATATAGCCGACAATTTACCTTTTGTTTATTACCAAAACACCCCACAATGTCTTTTCTCTTCCAAACTACATAAAACCCGCGTCTCCAGCAACTCTCCCTTTCTCTCTCTCTCCCTTTTATAACTTAAAACCCTAACCGATATCCTTTACAGTGACTCAGTGACTCGGTGACATAGTTTCGTGTCGCTTTTGATGCTATTACATCATGGGAATCCCGCAATTCTACAAGGGCTGTCGAGTAGGTATCGCAGTGCGTGCGGAATGCCAAGGAAGATCGTCCCCTTATAATCAACGGCGTAGGTGCCCCGTGAATATTACGCCCCTAACCCTAACGGCTTCGAGTTCGACAATCTCTATGTCGACGTGAACGGCATTATTCATCCCTGTTTCGATCCTGAAGATATGGTACTTTACTAAAAATGCAAATATTTTGATGATATATAATAAATTTATACTTTGTGCAGCAGTGTTTCCGTCCTGATGAATTTTTTGATGAATGTGAATTATTAGGAGAACTAATTGTTTTTACTCAATAATGTTAGATTGTATAACTTTTGAAGAAGAGGAGTATTGGGATAATTTGTTTATTAAGGGCTTGCGTCGTGGTAAGGTTACATAAATACAAAAATTTGATGATGTTATGCAAAATTTCAGTTCTGAAGCAGGGTTGGTAATACATGAGGAAGTTTGGATATTGGCCGAAGATGAGATTATGGGGGAAACTACATTATGTTAGGCTTCAGATAGTGTATGAATAAGACTTGAAGATTTGGGATAATTTATTTTATTAGGGGTTTGGGGTTATAGATTTTAGGGTATACTGCTTTTATAGATTTTGGATGTGGAAGCTAGTATACTTTCTGTTTCTTATAAAATAAATGGATTTCTACTGTCCTTCTGATCCTCTCAGTCTCCATTTAACACATGTAGAAGAGATGAAGGATGCATATCTTTTCTCTGTGTGGAAGCTAGTATACTTTCTGTTTCTTATAAAATAAATGGATTTCTACTGTCCTCCTGATCCTCTCAGTCTCCATTTAACACATGTAGAAGAGATGAAGGATGCATATCTTTTCTCTGTTGTTCTGTAAGGGGAGAGAGCATGAGAAATAGAGTGGAAAAGAGAATGTTTTTAGCACTTCTCTGTGTGAAAATTGTTGTAAAGTTTTACCGGCATTATGACCCTTACGAAAATTTTCATGAAGCTGCAACTGCATTGACCCTTGTGAAAGTTGTTGTCAGTAAGCTCTGAGAAGTTCTGAGTTATCGAACCTTATGAAAATTGTCTTTGAGCTTCCATATATTGTCATAAAGCTTGGAGCTTCTGAATGAGACGGGCTTGTTTGTATTTACATGAACTTTCATGGTCGTATTTTTCTTTTTAATTTAATGGAAATTTGTTATTTTTTGTTGTAGTGTGATGCGAAGATTGTGTTGTTAATTCTTTGTATAATTTTAGTACTAGGGAAACTATGTAGAGGTGATTAATTTTGCTGTTGAATTTAAAGAAAAAAATGTATAGGCTGTGTTGAAATTTTACATTTTGCTTATCCTATTTCACATGATTTTCTTATCCTTTTTTATTTATTTATTTTTTTCTCTCTATCTCTTGCAGCCAGCTCCGACAACATATGAGGAGGTATTTGAGGCAGTTTTCAAGTACATTGATAAGATATTCTCCATAATTAGGCCTCGGAAGCTTCTTTTCTTGGCAGTTGGTAAGGGCACTCTTTTGATTACTATAAAGTTATTTTAAAGGAAAACTTTAGATGTCTCTCAGTGTGTTTATGTTTTTTTATACATGGTAGCATAAGCGAAGTGTTGTGTTTTTTTATTTTTTATTTTATTATTTTTTTAAAGGTATGAAAGGGTTTTGGTTCTTGTTCTTGGGTAGCATATAATTGGATAGGAGGTTCAGGGGGAATATTCTAGCTCATTCATTAGTCTTGGGGTGATAGTTCTTTGGCTTAGGTTCTTCTAGTGCACTGAAATACCAACTCTTCAAGAAACTGATCTTTTGCTTACCTTATTTCATAATGATGGTACCTGATACGGCACAAAAGTTTCATTTATACGAGTGATTATTGAATAGAATATAACTCAGTGCTGTCTTGTTATTATTCTTTTTACATCAACTAGATTCATCTTTATGGTTTCTTCATCCTTTTTTTGTTTGGTGATCACTCTGACAAACAAGGATGTTACATCCACTTAGTCTCTGTATCTTTTATATTATTGGAAAGGAAAAAGGATTTCATCTAAAAGATGAAACAAGAGGTAAAGAGCAAAAACGGAAGAGGAGGGGAAAAAAAAATTATGCGGAAAATTGATAGGAAATACCTCTAAAGATGTTTCTCACTTTCTGTTCCCTCTCTTTCGAATGGAATTAAAAACAAGATATGTGTTCTGGGTATTGATTCTAAAACTATAACTATTCTAACCGAATTCACATTAATAATAGTAGGGGCTCAATAATATTAGCATGACATCATTCTTGTTGTGGAAGGCCGTTTCGAAACATGGAGGTAGTTGTATTTCTTGGGTTTTTCCCGTTTGTTATACATGTCTTTGGGTTTAAGTTTACTCTGTTCTCAAAGCCAGGCTTTGACGGGATGCTGTGTTTTGGCTTTTTATTTTTATTTTTTTTTTTCCTTGGGGGTGAGGGGGTATGGCTAGGAGAATACAAAATTTTTAAAAAGTTAATGAGAGATGAGGATGATTTTCTATTGGATAGATATTAATTTAGGCTTCTTTTTGGTCTTCATTTTCAGAAAAGTTTTTGGATACTTCTTTTTCTTCACTTTAAGAGATTGGAATTCTGTATTGGTTTAAGTTTATGCTTATTTGTGTGTTTTTACTTTTTTTTTTTTTTTTATTATATTATATTCATTGTGGAGTACTAGTTTTCCCTATTTTGTATATTTGCTTACTATTATATTTTAGTTTTTATGCTTACAAAAAAAAAAAAAAAAAAAAAAAAAAACAAATTCCATTTGCATTGTTAATATTTTAGAGAAAGTGCTTTTGTTTTTCTGCTGAAACCAAAATATTATGAAGGATTTCCTTCAGAGAATTTGAAATTTAATTTTCCTAGAAGTCAAACAGAGTCTTAGGAGTAGTGAGCCTTGGAAGTTCCATACTATTTGGGAAATTTTGTATGTGATTTTATTCTTAAAATGTTTTTCTTTTATGCAGTGGCGTTATGATGTTGTATCTTTTTTCTTCCTCTTTTATTTTTTTTTATTTTTTTTCAGAATTACCATTGTTTTAAACTTCATTTTCATGTCATCTATTATCCACTTCTAGTCACAATACATTTTTAAGCCTCCTCCTAAAAGTAAAATAATGATAATAGCAATAAGGGTGAAGAATTTAGGTTACTGGGAGATCTTGGTTGCTTGAGAAGATGCTTTGAAATGTTTATCGCTGAAGATACTGCATGATTCTTACATCTCTACCTTCAATTCAAGTTTTGGTATCAATCCTATGCAGATGGTGTGGCACCACGAGCTAAGATGAATCAACAACGGTCAAGGCGTTTCAGAACTGCTAAAGAGGCAGCTGATGAGGTACTCATAACTTCTGTGAATGTTCTTGGTCCTGTTGAGGTTTCAAATCTATTTTTCTTATAGAATAATGGTTTGATTATTCTTAGGCCTTAAGGGCAGAGGGGAATGCAGGAGAAATATCATCTCTACCGGAGCAATCTAAGAAATTGGACCCAAATGTAATAACACCTGGTACTGAATTCATGGATTTATTATCATCAGCTCTTCATTATTACATACACTTGAGGATGAATGAAGATTTGGGGTGGAAGGGAATAAAGGTAAGGATGATAGTTCTAGGCATGAATTTCATCTATCTCTCCCTCCCTGTTTCAGAATTAACTTGTATTGTGTGAATATGGATCTCTTAGGTTATTCTGTCTGATGCTTGTGTACCTGGTGAGGGGGAGCACAAAATCATGTCTTACATTCGCCTGCAGAGGAACTTGCCAGGTTATGATCCAAACACTCGGCATTGTCTATATGGATTGGTAAATGCCTCTGCGTATCTAGGTTTTAAAAGCAAGTTCCAATGCTAACTGTGACTGGTCTTTTAATCTTGAATGAATGTTATCTGTTGTTTTAGGATTCTGATCTGATCATGCTTGCATTGACTACCCATGAAGTCCATTTCACTATTTTGAGAGAGGTTTGTCTAATCACGCCTAATGGTTTAAAAAAGTTGACCTGCTTTCACGCAGTCGTAATATTTTAATAAGAAAAAACGTGTTCCATTTGATGTTTTCATTTGAAACTTGTCCCATGAAGTTCAGAGTAGGCTCTAACAATGGTTCAAAGCAAAAGAAAGCATTTAGGAGGAAGCAGGAACAGTTGAGAAAGAAAGTTAAAGCATCTGGCAATTTAGAAGCGTATATCCTGGGACAGAAATTTCAGGTAACTGTCTAATTATTGTTCTTTTATATTGATTACTCAAATGGTTTCTCTCGCACATAAATCCTGACTTTCTTCATTGCGATAAACTCAACGAAATGAAATACCCAAGCAAAATAGTTATACTAAGTTCCTCTCTATTTGTTTGGGTTCTAAAGACTATTGTATCAGAGTGTAAAATCATCTATTGGATGTAATACTATGTTCTTCTAATAATACATTTGATGTCAAGTATATATCTATTAGAATCTTACTTTTCGTGTTTGTGTATTTAAGGAAATGATATATACAACGTTTTTGGAGTAGGTTCTCCTTGAATTTTCTTCCTTGTGCTTGCAGTGGTGTGTTCTGAGCAAAAATGATAGGGAGAGAATTAACCATCTTTCTCTTTACTGTCCTTAGGCTATCTTTTTCTTTACTGTCCTTAGGCTCTAAAGTTGTGTTGCCTATTTTTTAAGCAAAGCGGAAGTGGTTTGATCCAGATCTTGTGTTTCCCTATTCCTGGAGGATTTTTGTGCCTTTGGTGTAGGCAAAAACACTAAGGATATGGAGATATTCAGTATTGGAAGTTATTTTGGGTGATTTGGATGTAAAAAAACATCTTTGAGAACGTCATAGATGAAAACTTCACAGAAGACGAGATACTTATTTGGTGGGCTAGAATTCGTGTGCTTGCAATTTTATTGGTTTTTGTAGCTAAAGAATTTCTGGATTATTCTTTTTTTTGTCATTCTGGTAATTAGTAGGTGGCTTTGGGGGCCGAATCATGTATAGATAATATTCTGTAGAGAAACTTTTTCCACTAATTTGTAAATCTTCTGATGGACCACTAGTTTATTGTGCTATTTACTAGCCTCTTCTTGATAGAAATATAATTTTTTTCTTTCAAAAAAATAAAAATAAAAATAAAGAAACACGTTGAGTGAGGTTATGCTTCACGAGAACAAAACTGAAGTCTCTGTCTTTCATCCTATTTTGAAAGCAGGAGTTGCTTTACTAATCTAAAATTTAGACATACCTGAATAAAGAATATTTTGACATTTTTATTGGATTTTGTTTATCAGTGTTTAAGCCTAACATATTTTTCACCATAAACAAACTACTTTAAAAATTAGTCGTGCAAAATATGATCTGGATTGGGGAAAAGAAGATTGGGACTAAGTTGCGTTGATTATATTTTTCACCATTGCATGTTCTAGTTTAAGTATCCAGGAATGTATAAGATAAGTTGATATTTATTTCAATAGTTTGTGATGAGACTTAATTGAGTTGAGTATATTTATCATCTTTACAAGTTCTAGTTTCTGATAGTGAGGAATGTATAGAAGTCTTTTTTGACTGAAGTAAAGATGCATCTGTATATTATCTTTATTTCAGTTAATAAATTGAAATCCATGACAATTGATATTTAATCCATACTTAAGAAACACTAATTTATTGGCATAGATTCATGTCATAGGCTGCCAAGGCGTATTATTCCATCCATATCAGGATTGATTTGTCAAGATTAATGCTTTAGAGTAAAGCACCTCTAATGTTGTGGTTTCGGAAATTTGCGTTTTCTGTTTAAACTAATGCAGTCTATACTTGTGCTGCAAAGCCTTGATAATATCTTCTTTATTTTTGTAATGATTGTACTATATGCTTATAGTCAATATTCTTCTCTGCTGTTTTGTGCGACAGTTTTTCAACATATGGACTCTGAGGGAGTATTTAGCACTTGACTTGAGAATACTGAATCAGAAATTAACTATGGAAGCAGACCTGGAGCGTCTGATTGATGATTTTGTCTTCATGTGTTTGTTTGTTGGAAATGACTTCCTACCTGGAATACCTTCCCTGGACATATCTAAGGTTTTAACTATGAGATTCCTATTTTAATTGCCTTATTTTCAGTCTAGCTCAAGATGTTGAATTTTATTTTGTTCCATACTGTCAACATGAGGAATGATTATGGTTACCAGCCACAGTTTTATTTCTAGTTGTCGATACCTATAATTAATATACACGGAACACTGCCTACCAGTCACACTTCTATTTTTACTTACCTGATTCCTATGCGAAGGTATGCAGAGCACTGCAGTTTTCTGATATTTAATGATTCATTCTGAAAAACAAATTGAAGCTTGTAAGCATGTTAAAATATAACTAATTCATTTTATCTGGTGGCTCTCTAATATTCCTTCGCAAAGTGAAATCTGAGACGGATCTGTGTAATTGGTGGAGTACATTAGTTTACAAAGCAACATGTTGTTTTGTGTTTCTCTTCTGTGATTATTTCTGGGGACATTGTATGTATGGTACTTGATTCCATGTGTGATTTATTTATTTATTAATTTTTGACAGGGAGCTATTAGTGAACTCCTAAGCATTTACATAAAGGGATTTGTTGAAAGGGGAGGCTACCTAACCGATTCATTTAAGGTAAATAACTTGTGATTTTTTGTTTTATCATATGGTGTAGCTCTAGTGTCTGGGAACTCAGTCAACATTCTCTTATTGGCAGAGTGCATGTATTTCTCATTGAATTAAAACATGCCACTTAACTAATTTTTTATTCATTTTTCTTTACTGTAACATGCTGAAACAATTTTTCATCTTTTAGTTTTTGTTTCTTTTTCGCTAAGCAACAAAGAATTCTATTGAATGAGATTATAAAATGTTCAAATAGGTGGCTAGCTGTCCACCTGCGGATAAAAATATATCCTGTAACCGACCTATGTATCTAGGTATAAAAACTGAAATATGTACATTTGGACCTCTTTGGTCAATCAATATGTTTATCTCTACTTACAATAGTGTATACCAACTATGCAAGTTTTCTGTTAATTTATTTATTTATTTTTTGTTTCAATCTGTTTTGAGTTTAGCTATGCTTTATTGCTTGTTGACTTCTGGTGCAGTCTTTTCTTTCTTCCTTTGAACTTCTTCATCTTCCATTATTTAAAAAAAATAAAAAAATTCTTGCACCACCTTCAACCTAAACCATGTAGTTTATTTTCTTGGCTTTGTTTATAATATTTAACTTCTCTTATGTTGTCCTTGATTGGTGCTACCTTTATCTTTCTAGAGCTATTTCTAGTTCAGTTCTGTTCTTTATTCTCCTGCCTCTTTCGCATCTAAGCTTTTGGTTTAACCTTCTGATCTGATTTCAGATCTCTTGAAATTCAACACTATACTAAATACTCAGATTTTTGTTGCTAATTGTTTAAAGGTTTACTATAGTTCAGATGTTTCTTATTAAGAAAAGGAAAAAACAAAGCAGCTGGGAATTGTTGAACTTGGTTGCAGAATTTACGGATGGTGGCTGAAAAGGAATAATTAGCTTATGGTTATGAATTATTGATGGCCTAAAGTATAGTAGAAATTGGATTTGATGAGCAAAAGGTTTTGCATAGAATTTGTTGGATTGGCCTAATAGAACCCGAAGCACTGCTTCAAGGCTTTGAAAACTAGTCTCATATGTTAAAACTCAACATAGCTTCAATGGTTGGTGCTGAGGAACCTAAGACTCAATTTATGGTTCATTGTCTTTGTATGTTATACCTAGGAAGTCTTGAAGTATTTAACCAGGAAATTATGGTGGATGGAGGTAGTAAGAGAACTAGGTACATGACTTTCTGAACTTCTTCCATTGATTTTCTGGTTGATGTGTTTTGTTGGACATGAGGGAGAGAACGGTGGAGGATGAGATGGGGAGGAAGATTTTACACGTCAGTTAGAGGTCATTGTTGCTGTTATGAGGATGATCATATCATTCACGAGTGAAAGTGAGAATCAAAGGAGATGAGATATTTATAAGAAAAGTCTGAGTTGTTTTATAACTTGGGGGTACTTTCCTGAGATAGCCACATCTTGTGGATAAATTATAAGAATTTGAAAAAAACAATGTAATTATTTTTCTATAACCGGCTGTAAAAGGGAGTGTTTTGTTTTATCCTATAGAACTCTTTATTTAAGGAGAGATATTTTGTTTGGATAGAAAGAGTAGATCCTTGATGAGTTTCTGAAGGAGGGGAACAGCTTCCCAGGTTATTGAAGATCCCTTAATTTTACTAAAATAATTGTTCATATGTGGAAGAATTATGTTATTCTATCATCCTCATGTCGTTGTGTGTTTGCCTGTTTAATGGTCTAAGAGGCTCAAATTTTCTTTACTTGAATCTTTTGTAATGTTAAGCAAATATGTATTTTTTTTGCGTATTTTATTTATTACATGCTATTTTTGTTTAATGTATAGGTAGATTTGAAACGTGTGAAGCACTTTCTTGAGGCTGTTAATCATGAAATCATCTTCATTAAATGTGGCAAAACTTTTGGTGGCAAAACACGTGCCAGAAAAAAACGTCACATGGTATCCCTTTCTGACTAAATGTTGTCTTGGATATTCTACTATATGTAATGTTTCAAGATTTGGTTTTCATTTGGATACCGTAAACCGTTCTGTATAGTTAGGGGGTTTGTTTTTTGTCTTATGTAATTATGGTGAGAAGTCTGAGGCTAAAACTGAAGATTGCCTTGAGGGACTATGTTGTAATTATTGTTCTGTTAGCTTTATAGTGTTCTCTAATTTCTTACTTTGCAAAGCCTTGATAATATCTCCTTTATTTTTGTAATGATTGTACATATGCTTATAGTCAATATTCTTCTCTGCTGTTTTGTGCGACAGTTTTTCAACATATGGACTCTGAGGGAGTATTTGCACTTGACTTGAGAATACTGAATCAGGAATTAACTATGGAAGCAGACCTGGAGCGTCTGATTGATGATTTTGTCTTCATGTGTTTGTTTGTTGGAAATGACTTCCTACCTGGAACCTTCCCTCATATCTAAGGTTTTAACTATGAGATTCCTATTTAATTGCCTTATTTTCAGTCTAGCTCAAGATGTTGAACTTTATTTATTCCATACTGTCAACATGAGAATGATTATCGTTACCAGCCACAGTTTTATTTCTATGTTGTCGATACCTATAATTATATATACGGAACACTGCCTACCAGTCACACTTCTATTTTTACTTACCTGATTCCTATGCGAAGGTATGCAGAGCACTGCAGTTTTCTGCTATAACCCATCCATAAAGTTGAAGAGTGATTTTTTGTCGGACATCCCAGGAATCTCTAGTATCAAGTCGGTGAAGTCCTTGATGTAATCACAGATTGTCCCTGTTTGCTTGATCCTTCGCAAGCGAGCTCTTGCCTCATCCTCGGCATTTTCCGGGTAAAACTGCCGCCTAAGCTCTTTCTTAAAATCATTAAAGGTAGAGATAGTACAGATACCTTTTTCAATGTCTCCTTCTCTTCTCCTCCACCATAGCCTTGCGGTATCTGTAAGGTAGAGGACTGCAGTTTCAATCCTTGAGCTTTCCTCCGTGACGCCTACGGCCCCAAAGTACTTGTCAAGTCCCCAGAAGAAGTTATCAACCTTTTGTGCCTTGCGTGAGCCACCAAAGCTTTTAGGCCTTGGTATGTCAATTCGTTGGCTTTCAACGACGTTGTTGCTGGTCCTTGCAACCATGGCGTGCTTGCATCGCGCTAAATCAGCTTGCACCTTGTCTAGGCGAACAAGGGTACTGTTGACTTCGGTTTGGAACACATGACGGGTTTTGGCAAGTTCCCCTTCGAACTCCTCACGGATTTTCCCCATTTCTGCCCTTAACGACTCCTCCATTTGAAGCAACATGGCTTTCGCAACAGTGTGAGTTTCAGACACCTCCGTCTCTAGCTCATCCACCAGATGATCTAGCTCATCCGACTGCGCGCTCACCCTTTCTTCTATACGAGATAGGCGTGAGTCAAAACTGGAAATAAAGTTTTTGGACTTACCTCTCTGCCTTGAGGGGTTGGGTTTGGGGTCGACTTTCTCTGAGTGACCACGTTCTTCGGAAGCCTCCATCTCAACCGTCTTGGATCCCTTTGTTGAAGCGACAATGTCTTTCACCATTGAATAAAAACCGAGGTTATGCTAACCGAGGCTCTGATACCACTTGTCACACACTTAATTTCTTGCTAAGTTCGTGCGGCCTTAACTCGTTAGAAATGAGTTAAGCAGCCTAACGCTCACACAAACTCACAGGCTCAAAGTATACAAATGAGAGAGAAGTTTAGAGAAAATATAAACTCTGTATTGAGGGAATTCAAGTTATGAAATTTACAAAGGAGGGGTGGCCTATTTATAGACTAAACCCCCTCAAAGAAATGACTACATACATTGAATACTTAGTCCTTAAGTAAACTTATCCCTAAGTAAACATTAGGTGGCAACCTTAGGTGGATGGATAAACATTATCCTTTAAGTTTCTTTGCTACTAAGTTTACTTAACTATGAAATATACTCAGCCACTAAGCAACGTGCAGCCCACTTGAGTCACCAAGCAAGTTGGTCGTGACATTAGGCTCTAAAGTTGTGTTGCCTATTTTTTAAGCAAAGCGGAAGTGGTTTGATCCAGATCTTGTGTTTCCCTATTCCTAGAGGATTTTTGTGCCTTTGGTGTAGGCAAAAACACTAAGGATATGGAGATATTCAGTATTGGAAGTTATTTTGGGTGATTTGGATGTAAAAAAACATCTTTGAGAACGTCATAGATGAAAACTTCACAGAAGACGAGATACTTATTTGGTGGGCTAGAATTCGTGTGCTTGCAATTTTATTGGTTTTTGTAGCTAAAGAATTTCTGGATTATTCTTTTTTTTGTCATTCTGGTAATTAGTAGGTGGCTTTGGGGGCCGAATCATGTATAGATAATATTTTGTAGAGAAACATTTTCCACTAATTTGTAAATCTTCTGATGGACCACTAGTTTATCGTGCTATTTACTAGCCTCTTCTTGATAGAAATATAATTTTTTTCTTTCAAAAAAATAAAAATAAAAATAAAGAAACACGTTGAGTGAGGTTATGCTTCACGAGAACAAAACTGAAGTCTCTGTCTTTCATCCTATTTTGAAAGCAGGAGTTGCTTTACTAATCTAAAATTTAGACATACCTGAATAAAGAATATTTTGACATTTTTATTGGATTTTGTTTATCAGTGTTTAAGCCTAACATATTTTTCACCATAAACAAACTACTTTAAAAATTAGTCGTGCAAAATATGATCTGGATTGGGGAAAAGAAGATTGGGACTAAGTTGCGTTGATTATATTTTTCACCATTGCATGTTCTAGTTTAAGTATCCAGGAATGTATAAGATAAGTTGATATTTATTTCAATAGTTTGTGATGAGACTTAATTGAGTTGAGTATATTTATCATCTTTACAAGTTCTAGTTTCTGATAGTGAGGAATGTATAGAAGTCTTTTTTGACTGAAGTAAAGATGCATCTGTATATTATCTTTATTTCAGTTAATAAATTGAAATCCATGACAATTGATATTTAATCCATACTTAAGAAACACTAATTTATTGGCATAGATTCATGTCATAGGCTGCCAAGGCGTATTATTCCATCCATATCAGGATTGATTTGTCAAGATTAATGCTTTAGAGTAAAGCACCTCTAATGTTGTGGTTTCGGAAATTTGCGTTTTCTGTTTAAACTAATGCAGTCTATACTTGTGCTGCAAAGCCTTGATAATATCTTCTTTATTTTTGTAATGATTGTACTATATGCTTATAGTCAATATTCTTCTCTGCTGTTTTGTGCGACAGTTTTTCAACATATGGACTCTGAGGGAGTATTTAGCACTTGACTTGAGAATACTGAATCAGAAATTAACTATGGAAGCAGACCTGGAGCGTCTGATTGATGATTTTGTCTTCATGTGTTTGTTTGTTGGAAATGACTTCCTACCTGGAATACCTTCCCTGGACATATCTAAGGTTTTAACTATGAGATTCCTATTTTAATTGCCTTATTTTCAGTCTAGCTCAAGATGTTGAATTTTATTTTGTTCCATACTGTCAACATGAGGAATGATTATGGTTACCAGCCACAGTTTTATTTCTAGTTGTCGATACCTATAATTAATATACACGGAACACTGCCTACCAGTCACACTTCTATTTTTACTTACCTGATTCCTATGCGAAGGTATGCAGAGCACTGCAGTTTTCTGATATTTAATGATTCATTCTGAAAAACAAATTGAAGCTTGTAAGCATGTTAAAATATAACTAATTCATTTTATCTGGTGGCTCTCTAATATTCCTTCGCAAAGTGAAATCTGAGACGGATCTGTGTAATTGGTGGAGTACATTAGTTTACAAAGCAACATGTTGTTTTGTGTTTCTCTTCTGTGATTATTTCTGGGGACATTGTATGTATGGTACTTGATTCCATGTGTGATTTATTTATTTATTAATTTTTGACAGGGAGCTATTAGTGAACTCCTAAGCATTTACATAAAGGGATTTGTTGAAAGGGGAGGCTACCTAACCGATTCATTTAAGGTAAATAACTTGTGATTTTTTGTTTTATCATATGGTGTAGCTCTAGTGTCTGGGAACTCAGTCAACATTCTCTTATTGGCAGAGTGCATGTATTTCTCATTGAATTAAAACATGCCACTTAACTAATTTTTTATTCATTTTTCTTTACTGTAACATGCTGAAACAATTTTTCATCTTTTAGTTTTTGTTTCTTTTTCGCTAAGCAACAAAGAATTCTATTGAATGAGATTATAAAATGTTCAAATAGGTGGCTAGCTGTCCACCTGCGGATAAAAATATATCCTGTAACCGACCTATGTATCTAGGTATAAAAACTGAAATATGTACATTTGGACCTCTTTGGTCAATCAATATGTTTATCTCTACTTACAATAGTGTATACCAACTATGCAAGTTTTCTGTTAATTTATTTATTTATTTTTTGTTTCAATCTGTTTTGAGTTTAGCTATGCTTTATTGCTTGTTGACTTCTGGTGCAGTCTTTTCTTTCTTCCTTTGAACTTCTTCATCTTCCATTATTTAAAAAAAATAAAAAAATTCTTGCACCACCTTCAACCTAAACCATGTAGTTTATTTTCTTGGCTTTGTTTATAATATTTAACTTCTCTTATGTTGTCCTTGATTGGTGCTACCTTTATCTTTCTAGAGCTATTTCTAGTTCAGTTCTGTTCTTTATTCTCCTGCCTCTTTCGCATCTAAGCTTTTGGTTTAACCTTCTGATCTGATTTCAGATCTCTTGAAATTCAACACTATACTAAATACTCAGATTTTTGTTGCTAATTGTTTAAAGGTTTACTATAGTTCAGATGTTTCTTATTAAGAAAAGGAAAAAACAAAGCAGCTGGGAATTGTTGAACTTGGTTGCAGAATTTACGGATGGTGGCTGAAAAGGAATAATTAGCTTATGGTTATGAATTATTGATGGCCTAAAGTATAGTAGAAATTGGATTTGATGAGCAAAAGGTTTTGCATAGAATTTGTTGGATTGGCCTAATAGAACCCGAAGCACTGCTTCAAGGCTTTGAAAACTAGTCTCATATGTTAAAACTCAACATAGCTTCAATGGTTGGTGCTGAGGAACCTAAGACTCAATTTATGGTTCATTGTCTTTGTATGTTATACCTAGGAAGTCTTGAAGTATTTAACCAGGAAATTATGGTGGATGGAGGTAGTAAGAGAACTAGGTACATGACTTTCTGAACTTCTTCCATTGATTTTCTGGTTGATGTGTTTTGTTGGACATGAGGGAGAGAACGGTGGAGGATGAGATGGGGAGGAAGATTTTACACGTCAGTTAGAGGTCATTGTTGCTGTTATGAGGATGATCATATCATTCACGAGTGAAAGTGAGAATCAAAGGAGATGAGATATTTATAAGAAAAGTCTGAGTTGTTTTATAACTTGGGGGTACTTTCCTGAGATAGCCACATCTTGTGGATAAATTATAAGAATTTGAAAAAAACAATGTAATTATTTTTCTATAACCGGCTGTAAAAGGGAGTGTTTTGTTTTATCCTATAGAACTCTTTATTTAAGGAGAGATATTTTGTTTGGATAGAAAGAGTAGATCCTTGATGAGTTTCTGAAGGAGGGGAACAGCTTCCCAGGTTATTGAAGATCCCTTAATTTTACTAAAATAATTGTTCATATGTGGAAGAATTATGTTATTCTATCATCCTCATGTCGTTGTGTGTTTGCCTGTTTAATGGTCTAAGAGGCTCAAATTTTCTTTACTTGAATCTTTTGTAATGTTAAGCAAATATGTATTTTTTTTGCGTATTTTATTTATTACATGCTATTTTTGTTTAATGTATAGGTAGATTTGAAACGTGTGAAGCACTTTCTTGAGGCTGTTAATCATGAAATCATCTTCATTAAATGTGGCAAAACTTGTGGTGGCAAAACACGTGCCAGAAAAAAACTTCACATGGTATCCCTTTCTGACTAAATGTTGTCTTGGATATTCTACTATATGTAATGTTTCAAGATTTGGTTTTCATTTGGATACCGTAAACCGTTCTGTATAGTTAGGGGGTTTGTTTTTTGTCTTATGTAATTATGGTGAGAAGTCTGAGGCTAAAACTGAATATTGCCTTGAGGGACTATGTTGTAATTATTGTTCTGTTAGCTTTATAGTGTTCTCTAATTTCTTACTTTACTTTCTTGTTACTGAAGGGAAAAGCAGAAATTGATTTGAAGAGAAACTATTATAATCAGAAGTTTGGGGCTAAAAGTAAAGATGACCGGGAGAGAATTCGGACAGATGCGGTGAGAGACTATGTTGTAATTGTTGTTCTTTTAGCTTTATAGTGTGCATAAATGCTTCTTTGCTGATTCCAAGTGAGTGGCTTAGTGGTAAAAGCCCTGGGTTAATTTAGATGTTAAAGGTTCAAATCCCCTTTGGGCCCACCTACTCGAGATATTATCCCATTGTTAGGCGTGGAAGTAGCCCCCTGTTTAGAATTCAGTGTGCATACATGGAAGGTTGAGGGAATTCTGTATGTCAACAAAAGGGGGAAACATTTTGCTGTTTTTCTCTTCTATGCTCTTTCTACATTTTGATTTCATTAGTTCGAAATATTGAGATCAATGTTGCTCATGTTCGAATCTGATTGGGGAAATAAGCATTAGCTTTGTCTATGTTCTTACCATGATCATCTTAAACTTATGTAGTTTCTAAGAGTGCTTTTATTTTCTTGTTTTTCCTTCTGTTACCTGGATAATATCATTTTTACTACTTACTCTTCTGCTGTGAATCCATCCTCGGGTTGGTTCCCTCTTAAAATTTCATTAATTTAATCTATATTTTCGTTTGTGATTTCAAATATTCACTCCTATAATTTTTTTAGGTCTTTAAATATACAGAAGGGGTTTGTTGGATCATGCGTTATTACTACGAAGGAGTGTGCTCATGGCAGTGGTATGTGCTACATTTTCCTCTTTTATCATAAATTTAGTTACTCTTTTTTCTATACTTTGCTCATTTTCTACAATGTGGTGGCTTTAGTTAGGTTGAGCTGTCTGTTCAATTAGAAATGAACTTTGATTTATTTATTTAAAAAAGGACAAAATCTGAAGTGTAATTAATTGATTTGATTGGAGTTTTTTATTTTGTTACAAAAAAAAGTAAAAGTGAAAAAATAGGACAAAAACAGTAAAATCAATTTTCAGATTATTTGCCTATATGTTCAGCATCTTGGTGCTTCACTGGCATAGCTCCTCGTTAGGCAGGGCTTGAGATATGTCCTTATCATGCTAGCATAATACCACCAATGTCACATGTCCTTATTATGCTGGCTTACTGTGTTCAAATTTGAAACAGCTCCATTAGATGTTTCTCTGTGCATCGTAGATGTTAAGGTGGGGATACACCAGTACTTTGGTCAATCATCGAGTTCAAGCAAAGAACTCATAGACTAATTATATACCTAGAATAATAGTTCACTGGGAAGGTATTTTGAATATCAATTTGATACTCAAAGTTTGAAAACCATGTACCGTATTATGCTCTAACCACCTGGATTGAAAAAAAAAAAAAAAATGGATTGCTCCCAAGTCCTTTTGATCCTCGTGAGTGAGATTCAGATATGTGGGTACTGAAATATACTTGATGGTTGTGTGTTTGCGCTGTTAGTTTCTTATTATTTTTTTAACACTAGTCATCAGTCTTCATGAGTGCCAAACTGTCAATAGCAATTTACAACCCCCTAACCTGCTTGCACAGCAGAATTTGCAAATTAGAGAACTGAAAAACTAATAATATGGTTGTACGTTTATGGTAAATTATTAAGACAATAGAAGGTGTGGAGTTGTATTTATATATGTTGATGCATGATGTATTTACCAATATAATGCCTATGGTGGCAGTATTGAATCATTGCTTTACAACAAGAGAACCACGAGGAATAAGAGAGAAGAGTCGTTATTGTGTGTTATATCTATTTTTTAGTGGTCTTGTGCTCTTTGACAAATTCACAACATTGAATATTAGAAAATTTGTGGCATATGATATTCCAAGCAGATGGTTTAAGAGGATTTGATTCCCTGACTTGGTTGAAACCAAGGTCTTAACCAGTTAGTCCACATAAACCAGGATTAGTGTGGCATGAAAAAGATTTGGATCTTTACAAAAAAAATGGCCAACTCCATATCTAGAATCTAACAAAAACAAAGTTTCCAATATAACAAGAGAGAACCAAATCATGCAATTAAACTAATAACCTTCTAGTTTATATTTATGAAGAATATAGAAGTATCTTGAAACTCTCTTTTCATTGATGCTTGATTTGGTAGTTTGAAGAATGACATGGAGAAGGTTTCTGTGCCTCATGCGTATGTGCTACGAAAATTTTGCTTTCCAGAATGGAGAAAACTAGTTCTTGATAATATAAGGAAATTTATACTTGATTAGAGCAATGTACATACCGTATTTTCAAAATTGGTCATTATGGATATATCATATTTGTTTTAAGTTTCATAACAATGGCCTTACGTCATACTGTTTCACAGGATGCTGACTTGATCTTTAATTATCTCAATGTATTAATGTGCAGGTTTTATCCTTATCATTATGCACCGCGTGCTTCAGATTTTTATGATATTGATAAATTTGAATTTCACTTCTCAATTGGGAAACCCTTCAAGCCGTTTGATCAACTAATGGGTGTATTGCCTGCTGCAAGGTTTCCAATATAACTTATCCATCTCTTTTGGTTATTTATTTATATACTAGGACTGCACAATCAGGTTGCATACAGTTCACATGTGATGTGCATCTGGTGCCTTAAGCCCAATTCCTAAGCTCATCTGGCCGGTTCAAATCATTGTTTTAAGACCCGGACCGGAGGGCAAACCGTTTTACTGTCCGGTCACGGTTCAATCGGTCCAACCGGTTGGACCGGTGACATCAGCAATATTTTTTTTTAAAAAATTCAATATTAACCCCTTAAATTTTAATATACAAAAATTTCCCTAAAAAAGTTCAAATTGGTCCCTAAAATTTTATTTATTCCAAACAATACCCCAATAAATTACCAATTAATCCCTAAACTTTGATATATCTTCAAAATACCCCTATAAAATTACAAAGTAACCCTCATACTTTTAAAATATTTTAAAAACCCCCCTGAGACCTAAACCGGACCGAGAAGCTACCGGTTCACGGTCCAACCGTCCGACCGGCCGGTCCGGTCCGGTTTTTAAAACAGAGTTCCAAATTCACCCAAACCAGTCGGATTTCAACTCAAGCTGAAACAACTTTGGGTTGGGTTTGTGTTAGGTAAGCCCAAATAGCAGTTTTATTCTTTTGGAAGATTGGTTTTATGTATATTTGGGCTTGGCAAAGATTAAAATTTTGTTTTTATCAAGCCCAAGGGTGGATTGAATTTTATGACCCTTGGAAAGTTAAGGCGCGTTTGGCTAAGTATTTTTATTCATATTTTGCCGGATTTTACAGATAGTGTTTGTTTTATTATTTACAATCTTGTCCTGATAATTCAATCCTGACAAATTTTTTTTTTTTTGATCGTTACAGTTTGTTTTTTCACTCATCTTCACTGCTTCACCATTTCACTTTCTCAGTATCCTCACTACATCTTCACTACTTCACCATTTCACTTTCTCATTATCCATCCCAGCTTTGAGCTTCAGCTCAGTTGGCATTACCGTTTTCAGTGCTTGACTTTTCTCAGTATCCATCACCACCATTTTAGTTTTTGATAATCCATTACCAAGTTCAGTGCTCACTTCCCAGTTTGCATTACCACCATTTCACTTTCTAGTATCTAGTACTAGCTTCAGTGCTTCACTCTCACTGTGAACCCGCAATGCCCTCTGTCACAAACCACATCCTAACCCAACGTGAACCCACCGTCAACCCCAAATCCCTCACACACAAACCCACCGTGAACCCCCCTCAGATCCCCAACCGTGAACCCACCGTGACCCGATGTGTCACACCAAACCCACCATGACTCGATCTGTCCACACACAACCCCCTGTGACCCGATTTGTCACACACAACCCACTGTGCCTCGATCTGATCCTACAACCGCATGATGACCCGATCTATCTCAAACGCACCCACGTGACCCGATCAATCGCAAACGCACCCACTGTGACCCGATCTATCGCAAACCCACCCACCATGACCCAATCGGTCCAACACAACCCACCGTGACCCGATCTGATCCTTAGAACCCCACCGTGACTCGATCTCACACACCCCCCCGGCGACCCCGATCTAGCGCAAATGCACCCATGGTGACCCATCTACGCAAACGCACCCACCGTGACCCGATCTGTTGTAAACCCCACACCCCGAGCACACACGCACCCACCGTGACGCATCTACCGCAAACCAACCCACCCCGATCACACACAAACCCATTGTCCACGTGACCCGATCTGCGCAAACTCACACCCTGATCTGGATCAAACCCACCTCAGATCTGTGTAAAAGGGAGCTATTTTGCGTTTTTTCTTTGTTTGGCATGAATGGATTGTGAATGGCAATGGATGGGTTTTTGTTTTATTTCTCGTGGGGCACACACATGGATGGTTTTGTTTTATTTGGTTGTTTTAATTGGGTTTTTGTTTTAATTGAGTTTTTATTTTATTCAGCAATTGACACAGAATTGTTTTAATTGGGTTTTTATTTTATTCGGCAATTGGTACAGAATTGTTTTAATTGGTTTTTTGTTTTGTTTATAGCTTTTTAATCTCGTGACACACATGGATCCCTTTAATTGTATTTGATGTTTTTCTGACTCAGAGAAGGGAAAGAGACCACGAAGTATCCAAATCAAGTTTTTAAGTTCTGTTACCTATTTGTTTCAAGACACTGAGACGCTATTTTTTTTCATTTTTTTATTGGAAATAATTGTATTAATACTGTTTTTTTCTTTTCATTAATCCTTTTAATTTGGACTTTAATGCGTTTTGTAATTGGTTGACTCAAATATTTTATTCCGATTTCACTAATTGATTTATTTGTTCTGTAGATTCGATATCGCTCTTTAATCTAACCAGAAATTACGCACATATGCACAATGTCAGCATAATTTTTCTTGACGTCACGGATGATTATTATTGCAACAGAGGAGAAAGTTTCGACCTTTTTCTAGACTTGGAGTTCGTCATACACTTGTTGGTCTACATTGTCTGTATCTTCCCCTACATTGACATCTTCAGCGTGTTAGATCGACAGTTATAATTTTATATGTGTTTAGTTATTACGTTAACATGTGAGTATTATATTCTGTAATGTGTGGGTGATTCGTATGGTGCCCCAATGTTAGTTGTCCCTTATCGTACTGTCCTTAGATGAGTGATTCTTGGCCTGGTCCGCTGAGATGACCCACAAATTTCTAGTCTTGTTACTGAGCGAGCCAAAACTTTGCACTACTACAATGAAAACACTGATTATCAGAAATGTTGGACGACATATCATCACTGGTTGGTAGAGACTCAACGTGACACAATTATCCTCTAAGTTCTTTTGCCTGCGAAAGGTTATCAAGCATGGCGAAATTGCTGCAACACACGAGGTTCGGGTGGGATTAGGAGTCACAAATCCAACGTGTCCCGTTGAGGTTTGGCGAATATGTCAAGGTAAATTTTCATATTTTTTAACTATTATTATTCAACGACACCGTAATATACGCATTTTTTTTGGACTGCTAATATTAATATATATCTTTGAACTTACCTAGCAAAACCCACTGGCGCAACACTTTTACCACAAGGACTTCCTCACAAGGAACTTTATGAAATAATTTTGAGAAGCAAACTGCCACTGGAAGATATGCATACACATCTACATCCCAACCGGTGGAGACCTCCAGTTATTCCAATCCCAGCGCGTTCCCCTGGATGATAAGACTTTGAACCTGATCCTGATCGGACGACAGGGAAAAACGGTCAAACACATCTGGCCATGGAAGAGTGAGAAATAGGAGGCACAGAAGGGGTCGGACATTCAATTGCAGATGCCATTTTTAGCTTGACAGACGAGCTTGCGGAGAAGCGAACTATGGGATCGAGGGCTAGCAATCGTAGTGCAATGAGAGGGAAGAAGAGAACACCAGTGCTCCATGTGATCCTTTTTCCATGAGCAATTGTTTGACATCATGACGGCCATGCAAGTACCGACACATTTACCTACCGGTTGTCATGTACTTAGAAAATCCAGGTGGCGGGAGATATTTGTGAAACTCCCACTGAGGAAAATGCTAACTGGATTTATAAAAACTTCCCAATAATAAGTAGATGACACTATATTTCATAAGTGTTTGGCAACAATTTTGTTGCGTCAGTGGGCAGTTGTCATTACATTACAATTTATAACGCTACGTTGAACTTATTTATGTATATTACATGTGTAAACACCGTTTTCGATTGTCATTACAATTAAATATTGATTGTTATTTTTGCTAAGTAGTACAACAATTGTTAATTGTTGATAATTGTTGATAAATGTTTTGCAAATATGCTTTAAATGCGTCGGCTGGCCGACAGGAAAAGACTACGTGCTACAATGGAAGGGACGAAAAAGAAATACTGACAGATATAGCCGTTGCACTCTACGGTGTTCCGCGTTAGAAGCAAGTGTGGCGTTCACTACACATACATCCGTATTAACTGGTCATCAGTACATGTTGGAAGTACTCATGGTCATCATGACAGGATCTATGACAAGTGTTACATGGACAAAGACTGTTTTCATTGTTATGTGAAATTTTATCCGATCAAGGCAAATTGCAACCAACTAGGAGGACAGTTTGGAAGAACAAGTTATGATATTCTACAATCGTTGGAAAAAAACGAGACAATAAGAACGATGATGGAGGATTTCCACATTCGGGTGAGATGATTTCTAGACATGTTACCGTAGTTTGCGATGCTATATGTGAGTTGAAGACAGAGTTTATCAACCACCTGACTCAATGATGTTCCATGGGAAATATCAGCCAACAGAAATATTACCCTTTCTTTAAGGTACTGGTTCATTATGTTTGCTATTAGTAAATAGTTAAGTTAATTGTGTCATAATGTTTTTAGTAGGTTAATATTAGTAAAATTCAATTTTCAGAAGACTGTATTGGAGCCATGGATGCACACATGTATACACTTCGGTTCCACGTGAATTTGCCGATAGGTACCGGAATCGCAAAGGATCGATGTCACAAAATGTAATAGCTGTATGCGACTTTAACATGATGTTCACTTATGTCGTTCTGGATGGGAAGGATCTGCGCATGATTCAAGAGTTTTAAATTCAATTATTGAAAGACGGTTCCGTATTCTAAATGAATGACAATTACCCGTTGGACAAACAAGGGGATTGTTATGGCATGTTGTGTACTTCATATTTATAAGAATGTCAATATGGACGACCGTATCTTCGAACAAACCAATAGTAGTACGGGTAATGAGCAAGTATATTGTGATCGTCAAAACGGGGCAGAAAATGGCCGAAATGAAGGACCGAGTCACCGCAACAAGGTATTATAGACAACATGACAACTGTACGGGGATAACATAACGAATGCACTGTGGGCAGCACAGTGGACCATGTCATAGTTGTTAATGGAGTATACGTGTAATAATGATTGTAAGGGTTGATAATTAGTATTTTTGTCAAATATGTATTAATGTGATGTTTTTAAACAGTTGGATTAGTACTTGAAATTAAT